CAAGAATCCAATTTGTTGAAAAATATTTCTTCGGAAGTTGACCTTTGAAGTGGAGAGTTGAATCTCCTTTAGGACCTTAGTTGATGCGATATGTGGGCTAGGTGTAATATTCTAAATTTATGATACAATATTATCTTATATATATATATAAATATATATATATATATATATATATATATATATATATATATATGTATGTATATATATATATATATATGTATGTATGTATTTATAAATATAAATTTTTTATAATTTAAAATGTCATAAAAAGTTTATAATAAATAGTGTCTCTACTAATTTATTTTAGTTTTATTATTTTTATTTTTTCAATGAATATTCTTAATATTAGTGGAAAAAAAATTCCTCATATCTCTACTTGGATACATATTTAGTTTGATAGTAAGTAGTTAGTTTTTGTTATTAAAAAAAAATCAAGAATAAAACTTGTACATCAAAACATTTTTGTGACCCTTATTATTTATTATCATGTAGTTTTTTATTTGTTTAAAAGTCTTTAATAATTATTAATATTTGTTGAGTCAATTGATGTTGTCTTGCCCTTAAATCTCAAAAGCTTGGGTTTGAGTTTTAGGTTTATAAAAATAGTTAATTTTAATAATATTTTAATTATTTAAAAAATTAAGATAAAACAATTCAAAATTTATGTACACAAAAATAAGGAATCATTTTTATATATACTAATGAGGTTAAGGCACTTTGAGCCTCTATATTTTATTAATTAAAAGTGTTTGAAGATTATCAATATTTGATAGATTAGTTGATGTTACATTTGGTCTTCAAACTTAAAGATCTTGAGTTTGAGTTTTATCTTTGCAAGAATGATTAATTTTTAATATTATTTTTATTATTTAAAAATTTAAGGATAAAATCGTTTAAAAAATGTGTAGACCAAATGGGACAATCCTCTTTACTATATATTAGAGGGATTGAAGCACTTCGTACCTATAATAACTATATACGGATAAATATTAGAAGTTATAAATAGTTATTCCGAAAGACTATAAGATATTTTTTACATCCAAGAAATATAATGGTGCACTAAAAAGTGAAAATAAAAAGGATAATTACCAAAATATATCTCATTTATAATAGGTATATATATATATAATTTACTTTATTCTATCTTTATCTAATTCTTCAATTTATTATATTTTATCTCCTTTTTAATTAAATTTTGAGGTTTAAGTTTAAGATTTAAAATTATTAAATTTTAAAAATTAGTTATATGAAAATTAAATTGTATCATTATAATATAATTAAAATATTAATTTATATATATAAGTATTGTTCTCACAACTTTAATTTTCAGAACCCGTTAGTATTTTTTAAGCCCTAACTCATGGGAACTAAGGCAAAATGAGAATGAGTTGGATCGTTTTGATAACTCTAGATGATATTAACAAAGATTTGGTATCATAATAATGTTAATATTTAAAAGTATATATAAATTAAATATTATTTATCTACTTCAAAATAAATGTTGAGAATAAAACTTTTGTTATTATAATTTCTTTTTTTGCAAGGGGTGTAGAGTGAGCTAGATCATTTTTACAGCTCAAAGTCACATCCGCTAGGATTTATGATATCATGACTACATTGACACTTTTAAATTTGTTTTTTTTAATAGATCACTAAATTTAAAATTATTTAACTACCATAAAATAAATGTATATACTAAAAATGATAGTTTCAAAATTTTAGAAAGATTATAATAAATTAGAAGGACTAATCAAAATTCGTTTATTTTATGAAGTTTAAAAATAATAATTTCAAAGTTTCAAAAAATGAAAATTAAAGAAAAAAATTGATTAGAACAAATATAAAAAATTCACTCATATTTTTTTTTTATAATTATGATGTTGATATAAAGTATTAAAAAAAAACGGCGATTAATTTTTGTTGAAAATCGCAAACTCACACAAAATAAGTATTATTCTTTTAATATATAAACATTATTTCATATTCAAGAACAATAAATAAATTGATTAAGAGACACATTACTTATGTCAACTAGTTGATAATTCACTCATCTTATAAAAATGACAAACATTTTAAATATGTTTTTAATAAAAGAAAATGGAGAAAAAAATGTTTTTTCTGAAAATAAAAGCTGTCTCAACTAATTTTTTAAAATAAGTTAGACGCCTTAACCTTTCTCATCTCCTCATCTTGAACTAATTAATGTGGGATAAATATTATTTTAATTTAAAAGAATTTTTAAACTATACCTGATAAATAACTTCGACTAGAAAGTCTTTATTTTGAGCTTAACTTTAAAATAAGATATAAAGTGTAAAAATAGTGGGCAAACATAAATTTACATTTGAGTGAGTTCAAAGTCGCATTTTCTCCAAAGCGGAAACGGCAGAATTCACACACGTAGACATAGTCATGGCATTAAATTACTGAATATTTTATTGATAGTCGACAAGGACTGAAGAATCATTTTCTTTATAATGGTTTCTTCATATGTTGTCAGCAAAAAATGCAAAAGTTAGGAAATTTGTTAAGGAATCTTAGTTAGCTGACAGATTTTAAAAGAGCCACCGAGGAAATATATATTGTCAACCTTAAATTCATCCTTCTCAATTGGGAGTGTAATTCAATTCAAATTTATTAGTACGTTCGAAACGCATAGTCATAAGCTTTACCACCAAATCAAACGCACACTCTCTAAATCAGTTAACTTAATTTAAAATATGAAAAAATTATTTTTTATTACTTTGGCATTATATTTAAGTGAATTTGTCGTATTATAACTCAAGAATAAATTGAAATTCAATTAGTTATTAGATTTTTTTTATTGATATTAGTCAAATTAAAAATAATTTTAGATATAAAATAATTTTAGTTTAACAAATAATCTTGAATTCAAACTTTAAATATATAACTGTTTTAACTATTTATATTATATTGTATTTACGTAGTTCAATTCATTATTATATTATATTTTATCTCGTTATTAGCCAAATCGAAAATAAATTTAAGTTATATAAAAACAATTGAGAAAAAATTTAAAATCGCCAAATCAAACCGTTTAAGTTATAATAGAGAAAATAAATTTAAGTTATCTCGTTATATTGATAATTACGATATTGATAAACCATTTTTGCAGGAAAAGGCGCACGAGTTCTGAACTTCAAAACTAGCAGCACACGTCTCAGTAGTTACTGAGAACATGACAGATTAATTGGAATTTATATATAATGTTATAAATACTTGATATGTATTGGTGAACAGAAGTTGGCAGCTGAGAAAAATATAAATACTTGAAATTATTCACACCCGAAACAGTAGAGACTTAATACCATAACAACTTCTTGTTAACAAATTGTTAACAAAGTTTGATATGAAAATTAGAAAAGATTGATTATTTATTTTTCTGTTAGAATTAACAATAGAACATTGAGGAGTAAATTCATCTGGAATCATTATTCACATGGTATCAAACATGGCAGACACAATGGATAAAGGTGCTCAGAAGAAAAAGCCTTCGCCTTACGACTTGAATTCCAGTGACAATCCTGGAAACGTGATTGCCCAAGTACAGCTGAAAGGCGACAACTATGATGAATGGGCTAGAGCTATGAAAAGGTCTTTGCGAGCAAGAAGAAAATGGTGCTTCATTGACGGAACCATAGTAGAACCCGAAGAAGGATCTTCTGACTTGGAAGATTGGTGGACTGTTCAAGCAATGTTGGTGTCATGGATTTTGAATACAATTGAGCCAACTTTGCGAACAACCATGTCATACTTGGAAACTGCCAAGGAGATGTGGGATGACATAAAAGAAAGATTCTCAGTTGTGAATGGCCCACGAATTCATCAGCTGAAATCAGAACTGGCACAATGCAAACAAAGAGGGCTGTCCATGGTAGCCTATTACGGGAAGTTAAAGGCACTGTGGGATGATTTAGCTGTCCATGAACCAGCCTTGACTTGCACCTGTAAAGGGTGCACATGTGGCCTTGCGGGAAAGCTTGAAAAACGCAAGGAAGAAGAAAGATGCCACACCTTCTTGATGGGGCTAGATGACGCATTGTATGGAACAATTCGTTCCAATCTGCTCGCTACAGACCCTATGCCATCCCTGAACAAAATATACTCAATTCTTGTACAAG